ATGATCTGAATACCACAATTAATACAGTCAAACAAAAAGAACGAAAAGAACTTTTGATATATAAAAATAAAGAAATCAATGAAACTATATCACTTCCAGTTATTTTTAATTTCAACAATAAAAGTAATGATGTTAAAAAAATAATAAGAAAACATTGGCACATACTTAAACATGATGAGATACTCAATTCCATTATACCCACTCATCCAAATATTGTTTTTAGAGGAGCACCAAATTTTAAATCTATTTTAACTACAAATTTTACAAAAAAATCTCCTTCAAAAAATTTATCATTCTTTCCTCAGACGAAGGGTTTTTTTAGATGTAAACAATGCATTGTATGTAAAACTGTGGACCATGTCAATTTACCAAAAATTACAAAATTTATGTCAAATCAAACCAAAAAAGTGTATGATATTTATGATTTTATAAGCTGCCATACGAAAAATGTTATTTATCTGCTCGAGTGCCCATGTGGCCTCCAATACGTGGGGATGACCACAAGGTGCTTAAAGATAAGACTGAGCGAACATTGCAGAAATATTAGAAATGGATACCTAAACCATACAGTATCCAAACATTTCATTATGCACAACAAAGATCCCCGTTTATTAAAATGCATTGGTATAAAAAAATGTTCTACCTCCTGGCGAGGTGGTGATATAAAAAAGTTACTCGGAAAAACTGAGATGGAATGGGTGTATAAACTTCAGACTCTTATACCCCATGGCCTTAATGCAGATTTTGACCTATATAATTTTTTATGAATTTTTAGGTTATTTTATGTCTGTATGATTTTATTTATTTTATTTTTAATTTTTATTGTTATTATATTTTATTCAATCTGCCCCTTTAATCTGCATTTTAATATAAGGAAGGTTTGGTTTTAATTTAATTAATCTGCTCCTTTTTAACCTGTGTATAAATCTTATTCACTATGTTTTCCCTTTATTTATTAATATTTTCCAGTGTGTTCTATTTATCAATACATATGTTACTATCCCAACTACATTTCCCAATAGGTATTTCGGCCATTTTAGCCAAATACCACATGATCGTTTTTTCTATATCCACATTTGAAGGTTGGCCCCCTCGTTTTAAAATATAAAACATTGTGGTCACATTGTGTTAAAATAAAATAGTTAAATAGGTATGCAGAATTAAGGTTTAATCGGCCGTCATTTGCGGCCAACAAACAAACTACATCTCCCATGGATCATTGCGGCGGCACTTCCGAAACGCGGAAGTGCCGCCGGTCATGTGACCGTTCTAAATTCCTTGGAATCAGATAACTAGCCCTCTCGTTTTGGGGGATGGTACCCTCAGACTATATTTATACAAAAACTAGTATATATAAATATAAAAATAAACTGTAATCGGCCGTTATTTGCGGCGTATATTTAAAACTACATTTCCCATGAATCATTGCGGCGGCACTTCCGAAAAGCGGAAGTGCCGCCGGTCATGTGACCATTTTAAACCTCTTTAAATTATACATTCCCACCCTCGTTTTAGATTCAAATATACTAAAATCAAGTTGTATGATTATAAATTATGTGTTGATTATGTTATTTTTGTATTTTAAAGTTATATATATGTTTTTAATTCTGATTGGCTGAACTAATTTTTGGCGCCAAAATTCAAGTAATTATACTTCTATATAACATCTATGTGCCAGGTAAACTATGTTATTCCATTTGAAAAAGTCCTTTTGTGACGAAACGCGTTATGGATATTTGAATATTGTGTTTTTTATATATATTAAAGTATTATTGGTCATTTATTTGTGCCAATTATCTTTTTTATAGACACATACTTTTCTCTTTAACCCTGGCCTTTTTATTATTATTATTATTTTTAAACTGGTTTTAAAAAAGAAACCTAAAAATTCCTGGAAGTCTCCTGTACCCAAAGAAATCCGTAAGGTGGGGATCAATCCACCCAAGCTATCATCAAAGAGCAGTGTGTCTGCTCTTACTTTGTAAGTACATTTCTTTTATTTTTTATTACTATCTGCCATACAGTGAGCACTATTGGCTGTTTTGTTTTATCCCGAGAATTGGATACCATTCACGGAGAGGAACCTGCCTTATATCCCATAAGCGGGGATTAAACCGCTGTACGCGCTTCACTCCAGAGCTGGACATTAGCTCTGGTAAATGTGAGTTTTATACTAATTTTTTTTTTTTTTTATCTTTAGACTTGAATTTTACATACTACACCATTGGTTGTCCTTCTTGTTCTCTTTTTATCGTTTATTAAGTGAAACCACTACAATAAATAGAAGACCTCATCAATCAAGGACACCAGTAAGAACTAACCAATTGGACTATTCCTTATTTTACTTATATTGGACTTTATTTTAGTTGCGCAGCCTTTTATTGTTTTTACTGTACTTTGTTTTAAAGGGTTTGAGGGACTCCCTTTTTAAGGTTGCTGCCTACAGTTATTTAGCGCTGTCTCATTTCTTTCCTTTTTTATCATTATGGATTTAAAAAAACCCCACTTTTTTCACTGTTATAGATTGAATAGCAGTCAGTGTCCTTAAAGCGGGTGTGTTACGCTAACAGTGGATACGGTGACCAGTGCCACCAATTAGATCTGGTGACACAAAGCTTGGATTTAAAAAAACAAAACACTTTTTTTCACTGTTATAGATTGAATAGCAGTCAGTGTCCTTAAAGCGGGTGTGTTA